GCACAGTACCTATCACATGCGCACTCAGTACAAGGTCGAATTTTCGGCCTTCCCATTGAGTGCCTGGGGTCTTGCTGTACAGATCACACAAGCAGGGCCGGACAACGGAATTCGGCTAGCAGGCGGACATGGTAAGCCGTAGACTTTTGGCTGCTTAAAGCTTAATTTATAGCTTTAAACCTTTCACGTTCCAAGCAATGCTCCGAGCGTTGGCCAGTTCCTGCTGCTGGCAATTCGGCCAGCATGAACTCTGCCCCTGTCCCACCCCCCTCGCAGTTGTCCCTGGGAAAGATCCCTGCTTGCTGCCCCTGTCCCACCTCCACCGCGTGGCTTTAAACTGCCGGTTACAGTTATGTAAAGGAACAGGCAATCAGTCCCAATACTAACATTCCCCTAATTCAAAGCAGGTCACCATGAGTGAGATCACTCTGATGAGGATTTCGGAGACAGAGAAAGACCGCATGCTGCGTGAATGCCAGCAAACACCAGGGCCGTATGCCGCCATGCTTTGCGAGGCAATGATCCCGGAGTACTTGCTGATAGCCTGGCGCGGAAAAGTTTCCTATCATGGAGGACGCAATAAGGCCGCTGTCCCCAGGAACCTGATGCAAAGGCTTTCACAATACCTCCAGGAGAGCTTCGTGGAGATGTCCGAGGAGGATTTCTGCTCTATCCCCGGACATATTGACAGAATTTTCCAGTAGCTGCACTGGCAAGGACTAAAAACTAAAGCGCCTAGGGCAAACTAATCATGAAAAACCAGACATGTTGACAAACTTTTCCAGTAGCTGCACTGGCAAGGACTAAAACCCTGATTGACGGTCCGGGTTACCGCCTTGGGAGAGTTGGTAGGGGATCTCCGTGAGGGTGATGAAGAGATCCTGGTTGTCGGTGAAATCAGTGTTGAAAGCGCTGTCGACTGCCTCGTCCTCCTCATCTCCTTCCTCATCTTCCCCGTCCACGAACATCTCCGAGGAAGCGTCCGTCGACAATACCCCATCGTCAGAGTCCACGGACAGTGGGGGGGTAGTGGTGGCGGCCGCACCTAGAATGGAATGCAGTGCCTCGTAGAAACGGCATGTCTGGGGCTGGGATCCGGAGCGTCCGTTTGACGCTTCGGTCTTCTGGTACCCTTGTCTCAGCTCCTTGATTTTCACGCGGCACTGCGTTGCATCCCGGCTGTATCCTCTCTCTGTCATGGCTTTTGAGATCTTCTCGTAGATCTTCGCATTCCGTTTTTTCAATCGCAGTTCCGAAAGCACGGACTCATCGCCCCACACAGTGATCAGATCCAAGACTTCCCGATCAGTCCATGCTGGGGCCCTCTTTCTATTCTGCGATTGCATGGTCACCTCTGCTGGAGAGCTCTGTATCGTTGCCAGTGCTGCTGAGCTCGCCACGATGTCCAAACAGGAAATGAGATTCAAACTGGCCAGACAGGAAAAGGAATTCAAATTTTCCCGGGGCTTTTCCTGTGTGGCTGGTGGCTGGTTAGAGCATCCGAGCTCGGACTGCTGTCCAGAGCGTCAACAGAGTGGTGCACTGTGGGATAGCTCCTGGAGCTGTTAGCGTCGAATTCCATCCACACCTACCCTAATTCGACATGGCCATGTCGAATTTAGCGCTACTCCCCTCATTGGGGAGGAGTACAGAAATCGATTTAAAGAGACCTCTATGTCGAAATAAATAGCTTCGTTGTGTGGACGGGTGCAGGACTAGTTAATTCTAGTTAACGCTGCTAAATTCGACATAACCTCCAAGTGTAGACCAGGCCTCAGTGATGTGTTACTTGACACAGACAGTAATTTCTTTAATATCTTGGGACTGATGTTATTTAATACATTTCAATAATGGCCTTGGCACAAAAAGTAGAAAAGTGCTAATGAAATTTGCTGATGACAGAAAGTTTAGAGGCATTGTCCATGCAGAGGAGGATCAAAATATCATACAGGAAGAATTGGATGACCTAGAGGACTAGAGTAATAGAAATAGATTGAAATTTAATAGTATGAAGTGCAGTGGCATGCACTTACGAACTAATAACAAGAATTTCTGCTATAAACTGTTAATCAGTTGGAAACAACAGAGAAAGAGAAAGATTTGGCTGTATTAGTCAATCACCGGAAGAATATAAGCCACGAGTGCGAGGTGTCTGTTTAAAAAAGTAGCAGCAGTAGCAAATGTGATCCTTATATGTATTTCCAGTAGAGTTAGGAAGTATTAATGCCATTGCACAAGGCACTGGTAAGACCTCATCTTGAATACTATGTACAATTCTGGTCACCCATATTCAAGAAAGATGAATTCAGACTGGAACAGATGCAGAGAAGGGCTACTAGGATGATCAGGGGAATGCAGGACCTCTCATGTGAGTGGAGACTAAAAGAGCTTGTCTTGTTTTGCCTTGCAAAACAAAGGCTAACTGAGAATCTATGATGGCTCTCTATAAATATTTAGAGAGGCACAGGTGTGTGTGGGGGGGTAAACAGTAGGGTAAAATGTGTATAAAGGGGCATGAACAAATATAGACTGAGGATTATAAGAAGGTTTCTAACCATAAGACGAGTGAGGTTCTGGAGCAGCCTTGTAAAAGGAGTAGAGGGGGCAAGCTAACTAGTTTTAAGATGGAGCTTGATAAATTTGTGAATGAAATTATATGACAGGATTGCCCGCATAGTAGGGGACTCGACTCAGTGACCCAGAGGGTCCCTTCCAGGTCCCTTCCAGGTCCTGTGTTCCTTTGTTTACACCAAGGTTTTTAGAAGAAGCAGTTCGCCATGGTTGCCAAGTTCCACTGGTTGGACCAGTTGTGGAAGCCCTATTATGACATGGCCATTGGCATTCTTCACACTGTGGTGTTCAACTTTTTGAAACTGCAGTTCATGTATAGTCTAAATCCTACCTTGGAACTTAATTCAGACTTGCTGTATGATGGAGCGTTAATCTACAGTCCAATTTTCTGTGAAAAGAAATGGCTGTATTAGAAATAATACATTTTCAAAGGGTTGTCTGCCTTCAAATCTTTTTTTAATTCAGTGGGAGGAAAAGAAGGAAAAGGGAGGAGAAGAGAAGGAAAAAAAGTGCCTGTTTAAGGAAGTCAGGTTACCAAAGAAGTAATTACTGTGGGAAGCATCGCTCAGTAAAGTACTTAATCCTCTTTCCACATAAAATGAGACACTTTACAGCTAGTGACTAATTTGTGCATATTAAAGATGACATGTTTCTAAATAATGGAATTGTCAATAGGTTTGTGGTGAAGTGAGGAGATGCCAAAAGTACTCAGACTTGTAGAAGTAAATTCATTTTTATAACTGGCATGTAATCAACTTAGCTGTCAGTTTAGATGAGAACTTATTCTCTGGAGCAAATAAAAGATGGAAATCTTGAGATGACAAATTAATGAAATAGCTGTTATCAGGTTAAAGCTAATAATATAAAGTAATCAGCTTTCATCTCTATATTAAGTTACTGCTTTATCAGTGCAGAGTAGTTTGACAGCAAGTCAGCTCTCTGACAGATTTAAATTATTTCTAAGTGAACTATATCAAGATTCACAAACTATATCAAGATGCACAAATTCTAAATTGCTGCTCTCAGCTTTGGTTTGCATATGGAATTGTTTGCGGAATTTCATTTAGGTTTAACTTCTTGAAAATACACATTGTGTTTTTTAAAATGAAAACAAAGTTACATCATTGAAACTAAATTATGTATTGTTTGCATGTGGTTCTCAGAAACCTGCTGGCCAATCCTTTCAACTGTAACTGCCACCTGGCGTGGCTGGGAGATTGGCTGAGGAAGAAACGCATTGTAACTGGAAACCCTCGCTGTCAGAAACCCTACTTCCTAAAAGAGATTCCCATCCAGGATGTGGCAATTCAAGATTTTACTTGTGATGATGGTAAGAAATACATATTGGATCTGTCAGAGTAGTGTAGTTCTGCAGCTCTCATACATATAAACATGCCATAGATTAGGTGGTCCATATTACAGGCACTCTTTTTTTTAATTTAATAAATGTTCACTGTGATCCAAATTTAACTCCTGTATAATCATGTCTATTCTAGAAGCAGAATGCACACAATTTGAGATGATTAAAAAGCATGCAGCTGTTCATATACATCGGTCAACAAGCCTTTTGAAAATAACAGTGCAATACTGTAAATTGGTATTTTGAGGTAAAATGGAGACTGAGATAATTGGACCAAAAACAGTTGTACAAATGAAAATATTTTCAAACACTGACACTTGAATTCAATACTTTCTTTCAGGCTAAATATTCAAATATTATATTACTATTGCTCAGTCTGCCTGTTACTTATTGATTTTTTATATTTCTCTGCAAATATTTGAATAATCTGCTACTCGCCTCTCTTACATCCCAATCCTTCTAATTCCAAGGTTAATTGTATGTTTGCTGATACTCAAATGTATAACTTTTCCCTAATAAATAATATGCTGTCTTTATTTACTTTAAATTATTGTAATTTTTTAGAAATCAGTGTATATATTACTTTATCATATTGTGTTTAGGAATTGTGACCTTACTTTAATGAGGCTTTTTCTAAAGAATATGACTCATAGATACTAAAACAGTGTTATACTAAATAAATAATATAATTTGAAATGTAGTTAAAAGTGATAACTTAATGATTTCCATCCACAGAGCTACTGCAGTGCAGAACCTTCATGTCTGTTAAGTAGAATTAAATACAGTATGTTAAATTCTTGCCAATTCTTAAGAGCTCTCTGCAGAGCAAAGCTTTATTTATCTGTTTCTTTCACTAACCAGGGAATGATGACAACAGTTGCTCTCCATTGTCTCGCTGTCCCGCAGAATGTACTTGCCTAGATACTGTGGTTCGCTGCAGCAACAAAGGTCTTAAGGTTTTGCCCAAAGGCATCCCAAAAGATGTAACTGAACTGTAAGTAGCACAAGTTCTTCCTTTTCTTAAATGCCAAGTTCAGAGTCACATTGTCTGATTCAAGAATGAGAGGCAGAGTAAGTAGGCAAAATGAAGAAATGACATTTATCAATCAGCTGGAGTTTGAGACTTTATCACTTGTTAGATACTAAGACCTGTAAGTCAACCAAGGAAATCTTAATAAAAAGAATTTAATAACAAAAAAGTCCTATTTATAATGGTAAAAAGGCCCATATAATTGTGTATTATTCTAGTATTTCTAGAAATTCTAATATTGTTATGATTAGCTAAGTTTTTTTAATATAGTAGCTAGAGATCTGTGAGTGCACATTTAGGGTACATTTTTTTGCTTACAGAGAAAATGTCACATTGAATTTTCATGGTCCAACATGGAAGAAATGCAGAAAGTAAATAACATAAATAGCATCAAGACAATTAGCTATTTAAAATTCTAATTGTTTTAATAGTCTAAGGAATTTTTAGTGACATATTTAAGGAAAAGAGTAATTTTTAATAAATGAATTTCTCCAGTGGAGGCTTGGTTATTGGAAAAATAGTAAAGATTCTTTTGTGAATATTGTAAAGCAGATTTGCAGAAATATCCTCTAAAATTGTACCTACGATCTTGGGTATTTATTTTCCAACTTCAAGTCTTTAGATTCCAAAGGAATTGGTAATTCTAGATATAATTTGTGGGTACAGATTGCTATTGCAGATAGCTAGCTACTCAGTTTTGAATGTGAAAATGCTCTATGTATATGCACTTCAAAGATTTTGAGGCAACCCAAATTTTATACACAAAAGAATGTAAAATTTCAGAAACAAATTTAGAAAATGGGTTATGACTTCTTTGAAACTTCATCTTATATATTTTGAGATTTAAAGAAACATCCAGAAAAACTCAACAATAATAAATACCTTTTAATATTTCATCATCTCCTCTTATTACAAATAGTTGCAGTTAATCATTAAACACACAGGAAGGCTTTGAAGTATCTTCCGTCCACTCTGTTTAATATTTAAAATAATTAATGTAAATATTTGCTTTGGAAGGCATCTTAAGTGTGCACTTTAACACTTTAATAGCTTCTTTGTTTTACAACTACAATTATTCAGAAGTTTCTAAAACATCCATCAGTAGTTTGATGGTAAAAACAGGATACTATAACAAATGCATCTGTCATTCCCAAAGAGAAGCTAGTGAGAATTCCTACTGACATTCTAGTAAAGAAAATGATCACCTATGCTATCAGTGTTTTTAAGAAGTACCTTAATTAAACAAAGTTGCTGCCTGTTAGATACAATTTGACCTACATTTAGGAGCAATGACTTGTAAGATTGTACATATAAAGAGATTTATATGGACTGCAACACCTTTTGTGACTGATAAGTCCTTTACATGCAGTTTTGTGCACCTAAGTTAGTGTCCAAAGTGTGCATGCAGCTCACTGTATTTTTTTTTAAAAATGAGAAAACGAAGGAGTTGGTTTTCTGCTTGCAGTTGCATCCTGATCAGTTCTTCTTGTTCATTAAAATGCATACACGTTCTAACATGTGATCTCCTTTATGTAATTGTCCTAATATTTCCTTCATTCAAACAAGTAATGGTTTTTGCAACCAAGAAGAAAATTATAACTGGTGAAAGCTTATTTTTAATGATACAGATAAAATAATAAATTGTTAACGTTTTCTTCCAACCTCATTGATTTTATCACGATATACAGTACCTTACTCCTTCAATAAAGTTTTTTAAATTATCTTTGTTTTTAACCTCTTAATAAAGTGTTAAAAAATTCATTTCCTGCCATATATGTAGTATTTTTGATGTATATTTGTAAAATTGTTCAGAAGTAAATATCAAAGTTGGCAAAATACAATAATAACAGGTCTGTGGATGTGGAAGAAGGCAATACAAATGAGCTAGACACCATATACCTGGACAGAGGCTGCAAAAAAAATCTGCTGTGCACCCTCAGCTAGATCCATTAGGTTCTCAAAGTACCACATATGGCCAACCTATAATCTCCTCTATCACACATAGCTTGCTAGTCAGAGGAGAAATGAAGGAAGGTCAGTGTCACAATGCTGGGTTACCTACAGCTCAGTATCAGTTACCTGTGCCCAATAAGTTTCTCATTTAGAAATTTTATCTTGTGCTGTCCTCACCAGGAGCAGGGATCCCTTCCCCTGGTAAGTACGGTAGATGTTCTTCGAAGATCGCTGCAGAAATCCCCATTCACCACAGCTACACTCCAAACTGAATTAACAAACTTGTAATTTATTATCTACAATTAAAATCTGTGAATGAACTCTGGAAGTGCTGCCCAGTGTCCTTGTCAAGCCCAGGAAAATCTTCTGGTTTCCTGTTCGTAAGCCAGGGAGTCTGATATTCTCCCAGTCTGGTCTCACTGCAACCCTCTCAGCAGCCCAGACCTCTACATCCCTGATGGACCAGTCTCTGGAAATTGGAGAGACCTTTTTTGGCAACTTCAGCTAGCCTGACCAAAATTAGCTCAAGCTAGCAAGTCTCCACTCTCCCTCCTCCAGTGGTCCTTCTCCCACTGCTGACATTCAAACCAACATTCTGGGATGGCCTCCAGCAACCCAATAAGCCCTCAGAGTCCTTAGGTTTCAAACCACTATTTCACGTCCAACATATTTTGCCTCCCATGTGCTCATACTTAACATAATATAAACCTAACACATTCCCTAATCTTCTCCGCAGTCCCAAACAAACCAAAATGAAAATTCCAACATTTTATCATCTCTAATGCTCTGTAAAGCAATAAACAAAGTATAATTGCATACCCCTCCATTATAAGCAACTTAAAATATGGGAGATCCTCAATTATTATTTGAAAGCAATTAAAATTGTTAACAAGTTTATTTAGCTAAATGTAGATAAATATCCATCTAGACACATATCCATATCTGTGGTCATCTCTGTGTAACACATGCTGAATCACAATAGCTGTCAAAGTTGGACCTGCTAGATATAGACAACAGGAATGAGGTTTTATATTCACAGCCATCAGAGCTGTGTGAACCTGGGCCCAGCCACCAACCAACCCATTTGGCAAGCTATCTGAATCACCGGTGCATATCCCATCAGGATTCTTTGCTTCTGACCTAAATCAACTGAGGCTGTCTGCAGCACTCCTGTATTCCCATTCCTGCTTTTTGGAGGGTGTTTTCCCCTTGTGGTCTTTGATTCTCCTTCACCAGCTGTGGTGTTCACAACTGCTCAGAGGATTTGGGATCCATCACTTATGTGCCTAACAAGTCTGGTACTCCAGCCAGTCATGATATTCCTATGATTGCAGGTATGACATAATAGGTTAACTATTAGAGCTGGGGCCAGAAGCAGCTACCTCAGCAAACTCATTCACCATTTTTGTCCAACATTAAATTTGTATTATTGATGTGTAGCTATACCCACTATGAAGGACCAGATTGGGATAATAATGTCGCTTGTAGCTGTCAAGTTCTGTTTCTATTTACGGTAGCATAAAATCCAGTGAACCACATTAAAATGACTTGTATAAGCCTGATGTGCTCTTTACTTCACAAGATACATCTGGCTCTTAGGCAGCTGATCCCATCTATTCCCCAGCCATCATGTCATCCTGATGTTGAAGAAGGTAAAACTATAAGCAACTGCGGTAGTAAGCTGAAACTTTATGTATTCACATGTACTTTTAAAGCACCTGTCTCAACCTTATTTATTACTTTACTCCTAACTATTGTCTTGCTGGAAGGTATTGATCTTTTAATTAGATGAATAATACTTCATTATTTTATTTTTCTGTTGTAGTTATTTGGATGGAAACCAGTTTACCCTTGTTCCCAAGGAACTTTCTAACTACAAACATTTAACACTTATGTAAGTAACTTTAGAGCATCTTTTTGTGTGGGATTGATCAAAAAGCTGCTCTTCCATTTAATGAAACAGTTACAAGCAAAACATAAAATGTAACCAACCTTTTAACAAATATAGCCCCAAGGCACATTTTATAAATGGGATATTTTTAGTCCAGTGATCACAACACATTTTATTGCAAGGTAAATAGGCAGGAATTATAGTAAACCTGAAAAGATTGTGAAACTCTCACAAATATGCATTAGAGTATGACAGCTTCAGTACATTGTCACATAGACATACATGATTAGCCTCAATAAAGGCATGAAATTATTTCAATTACAGAGAAAAGATTTTGTAGTTTGTTTGAAACACATAATGCTACATCTCTGCAATTGGGCAGCCTGCCACAATTGATGGTCTAGTGGTTGGAGAAGGGAATTTAGTCAGGACGCTTCATTTTTATTCCTAGCTCTGCTGCTGACTCACTGTGCAATTTTGATCAAACCTCTTGAACAAAAAGCTCTTTATGCCTCAGTTGATGCCTTTGTAAAACAGAGATAATACTACTTTCCCTGTGATACGTATGGGCAGATCCTCAGCTGATGCAAATTGTCATAAGTTCCACTGAATTCAGTGGATCAGCTGGGGATAAATCTCGTAATGTTTTGAAGTACCTTGTGGCATAGGAGCAACCACAAATTAAAAATTAGGGCAACAAAATGGCTGCCAGTTTTCTTGCGTAAAGCAAACTAAATCAATGTAACATTCTGAAAATGTCCCAGCTCCTTTTGTATGCCTTATTCTAGACTAAATGGTCCATACTTCAAATTTAGAAAATAGATACATCTCATTTTCACAAAATTTCCAAATAGCATCAGCAATTGCACTATTCTCAAATGTATGCAATCTAGCCCTGCATGGAGTGTTTGTGGATTTGTGCAACAGGAGGTGTATGAGACCTACCTTGCAGTATACAGGCCTGTAAAGAGCATGCATGTTGGTTACTGTTTGCTGTAGTGATAAGCACTCCTCCGTCATATTGGCCCACAAAGAGGGTGTCTGAAGGTTTGATTGTTTGAAATAGTGATGATCAATTCTGTACTGTATACTGTGCGGGAATGGTGTCCCTAGCCGCTGTTTGCCAGAAGCTGGGAATGAGTGACAGGGGATGGGCCACTTGATGATTACCTGTTCTGTTCATTCCCTCTGGGGCACTGGGCATTGGCCCCTGTCAGAAGACAGGATACTGGGCTAGATTGACCCTTGGTCTCACCTAGTAGGGCCGTTCTTATCTTCTTATGTGTATGTAATGTTGAATGCTCATAAAACAAATGCAAATTACAATATCAGATTTATTGTAACTAGTCATTCAGGCTGGTATTTCAATAAATAATGTTGATAGAGTACAAATGCAAAGCATAAGCAGCAAAATCGTTCAGTAAATGATAAGCAGTATAAGTACATTAATATTTTGAAATTCTGGGTAGATATTTCCAAAAGTACAAAGCCATGTATTACATTTTTGGACAATCTCTCTTGGTATTGAAAGATTATCTATAAATTCCTCTCTTTCCCTGTATACATTAAAAAGGATCCAGATGATTCAGGTATTCTTGTTTCATAGACACGTGTTAGGTATGTTTTTAACCTTCATAGACAGGAAATGGATAACTGTGTCAACTTACCATAAATGTGCCCAGGTCAATCATCATTCCAGTAGCATCATGACTTACAGCTTAAGTTTCCATTGCTTCCTGAGTTACAGAGTTCCTGTACAGCATTAAACAATACACAAATGGAGTAATGAACATATATCATAGAATATCAGAGTTGGAAGGAACCTCAGGTCATCTCGTCCAACCCCCTGCTCAAAGCAGGACCAATTCCCCAATAAATCATCCCAGCCAGGGCTTTGTCAAGCCTGACCTTAAAAACCTCTAAGGAAGGAGATTCCACTACCTCCCTAAGTAACCCATTCCAGTGCTTCACCAACCTCCTAGTGAAAAAGTTTTTCCTAATATCCAACCTAAACCTCCCCCGCTGCAACTTGAGACCATTACTCCTTGTTCTGTCATCTGCTACAACTGAGAACAGTCTAGAGCCATCCTCTTTGGAACCCCCTTTCAGGTAGTTGAAAGCAGTTATCAAATCCGCCCTCATTCTTCTCTTCTGCAGACTAAACAATCCCAGTTCCCTCAGCCTCTCCTCATAAGTCATGTGCTCCAGCCCCCTAATCATTTTTGTTGCCCTCTGCTGGACTCTTTTCAATTTTTCCACATCCTTCTTGTAGTGTGGGGACCAAAACTGGACACAGATGACGTCTTACCAATGTCAAATAGAGGGGAACGATCACGTCCCTTGACCTGCTGGCAATGCCCCTACTTATACAGCCCAAAATGCCGTTAGCCTTCTTGGCAACAAGGGCACACTGTTGACTCATATCCAGCTTCTCGTCCACTGTAATCCCTAGGTCCTTTTCTGCAGAACTGCTGCCTAGCCATTCGGTCCCTAGTCTGTAGCAGTGCATGGGATTCTTCCGTCCTAAGTGCTGGACTCTGCACTTGTCCTTGTCGAACCTCATCAGGTTTCTTTTGGCCCAATCCTCCAATTTGTCTAGGTCCCTCTGTATCCTATCCCTACCCCCCAGCATATCTACCACTCCTCCCAATTTAGTGTCATCTGCAAACTTGCTGAGAGTGCAGTCCACACCATCCTCCAGATCATTAATGAAGATATTAAATAAAACCGGTCCCAGGACCGACCCTTGAGGCACTCTGCTTGATACCGGCTGCCAACTAGACATGGAGCCATTGATCACTACCCATTGAGCCCGACGATCTCGCCAGCTTTCTATCCACCTTATAGTCCATTCATTCAGCCCATACTTCTTGAACTTGCTGGCAAGAATACTGTGGGAGACTGTATCAAAAGCTTTGCTAAAGTCAAGGAATAACACATCCACTGCTTTCCCCTCATCCACAAACCCAGTTATCTCCTCATAGAAGGCAATTAGGTTAGTCAGGCATGACTTGCCCTTAGTGAATCCATGCTGACTGTTCCTGATCACTTTCCTCTCCTCAAAGTGCTTCCGAATTGATTCCTTGAGGACCTGCGCCATGATTTTTCCAGGGACTGATGTGAGGCTGACTGGCCTGTAGTTCCCCGGATCCTCCTCCTTCCCTTTTTTAAAGATGGGCACTACATTAACCTTTTTCCAGTCATCCGGGACTTCTCCCGATCGCCATGAGTTTTCAAAGATAATGGCCAATGGCTCTGCAATCACATCTGCCAACTCCTTTAGCACCCTCGAATGCAGCGCATCCGGCCCCATGAATTTGTGCTTGTCCAGCTTTTCTAAATAGTCCCGAACCACTTCTTTCTCCACAGAGGGCTGGTCACCTCCTCCCCATACTGTGCTGCCCAGTGCAGCAGTCTGGGAGCTGACCTTGTTCGTGAGGACAGAGGCAAAAAAAAAGCATTGAGTACATTAGCTTTTTCCACATCCTCTGTCACTAGGTAGCCTCCCTCATTCAATAAGGGGTCCACACTTCTCTTGACTTTCTTCTTGTTGCTAACATACCTGAAGAAACCCTTCCTGTTACTCTTAACATCTCTTGCTAGCTGCAACTCCAAGTGTGATTTGGCCTTCCTGATTTCATAGACTCATAGACTCAATGGTTTGTTCCTGCAACCTCAATAAGGATTCTTTAAAATACAGCCAGCTCTCCTGGACTCCTTTGCCCCTCATGTTGTTCTCCCAGGGGATCCTGCCCATCAGTATATGGGACCCATTACTGAATTATTTGAGTTACTCACAATCTTTATTGTATTTATCCTCACTCTCACTGCTGTGAAGTAGGGAAGTATTATTTATCCCCATTTGACATATGGGGAAATAGAGCCACAAGAGACTGAAGGCTTGTCTACACAATTGACAAGATAGATCCTGCTGGCGTGCTTTAACGTAGTGCTGTTTGGAACACTACTGTGTCAATCTCTAACGTGCAGCAGCAGGGTCAACACAGATCAATTAATGCGCAACATGTTAGTGTGCCTTAGAAATCAGACCTCCATAAATGCATTACCCCACCGTATAGACAAACCCTTAGTAACATACCCAAGGTCACACAGTAGGGAATTGAATCTGGGTCTTCTGTGTCTCAGACCAATACCCTACCTCTGGACCATCCTCCTTCTCTTCTTTTCTCTTTCTGGTACAAATAGATTATGCTCCATTGCACTTGGCTGACATGTTGATGGGTACATTGTAGGTTTGTCTTCTTAGGTTCTCTAATGGCAAATTCTGATGAAGAAGCCTGTTGCACACCATTTCTGCCATTGCTTATTCAATAATAGTGCTAGACAATCACAGCTAAAATATTAAGACCCCTCAGAAGCTAATGCCAAAGAATACTCTAAAGAACAATAATGAAATAACCAAGATAAACAAAGCTAAGAGACAGTAGAACAACAGTAGGAGAAAGTAGAAACTACTACAGCTTCTCTCAGCATGATTCATTTCCAAACTTTCCCCACCAAGCACAGTGCTCTTCAAAGCTTCTTTCTCCAAACACCAGCCTTCTTAAATTTAAATTAAAAAAAAAAAAAGACTTCATTAGAATATGGAGCGGCGACAAGGACTTCAAAACTTTCACCCATGTAGACCCAAGATTTCACATGTTATAGGAGCATTGGAACCCAGGCACAAGTTTTGGGGGGGTGGGGGGGAACTTGTTTAAAATAGTTGTACCTATGCTTTGGGACCTCCAGATTAAGGGTGTCAGGTAATACTTATTCATATTCCATTAGGGAGGTAGCTAGAAAGATTCCCACTTAAAATTATCTACCTACATTCCCAGTTCACCTGCTAGTTTCATTTTACCACTGTAAGATTATAGTCTTAGTAGAGTATCAGGGGGTAGCCGTGTTAGTCTGTATCTACAAAAACAACAAGGAGTCTGGTGGCACCTTAAAGACTAAAGCATGATGGACACTGGCATTGTATAAGAATGCAAGACACTGCATTGCTTGGCCTTTTATCCCTTGAAATGAAAATACTTTTCATTTATCAATGTAAGCTCTTGCTTGGCTTGTACGTGGCATGTGACATTAAAAGGCGTTATTTAAAATATCAATATTAATAACAATACTACCTCTACTAATAAAAATAATGTGCTATTTCAGTTCTAGAGTGTGGTGTTTCAGAATTTGTGCAGTCATTTTAAGGACTGAATTTCTGAATTTATTTTTTATAGAGATTTAAGTAACAACAGAATCAGCACTCTTTCTAACCAGAGCTTCAGCAACATGACTCAGCTGCTCACCTTGTAAGTTTAAATGTATAACAATGAATGTTTGAAAACATTAGTGTTTATTGTCTTGAAAAGAAAAGGCAACCCGTTAATATTAAAACTTGCTTGATTTGGAGGCTGTAAGATAACTGTTTCCTAACTGGCTATGAATGCAAAAGGTACATTTGATCATGCTCTGCATTGTATGTATTTGTTTGTTTGTTTACTTGTTTGTTATTTTATATGCTTTCAGAATTCTTAGTTACAACCGTCTGAGGTGTATCCCTGCACGGACATTTGATGGGTTGAAATCACTTAGGTTACTGTAAGTAGTTATTTTATTTTGAAAAAACTTATTTTATGTAACAACAAACGTGGAAACCCATAAGGAATTAATAAATCTTCAACCCCAATAAGTACTTGAGGAAAAAATAAAGAACAAAGAATCACAAAATATTAATTTGCTGCATTTTTTATTATATAATTAAGTATAAATAAGTGCTGTCATAGGTCATACAAAGAGTGTACATTGTGACCTTTTCTGTTCTACTTCTTGTTTTTTTGTCTCATGTCATGTTCTAGCTTGTAAGATTCACTTGTGTATGTCTAAAAATGTTATTTGTATGTGACATAGGAATGGTGTCTCTCAAACTATATGGTGTTATTATTCTACGTATCTTTTCTTTTCCATTAGATTTTAAATGTGTTTTAGCATTTCCTTAATAAATTTCTTACTTTCTTTCACTTAACTTTGGGTGCTTTTCCAACTCAGAACTTGATGGACAATTGATGATGACTAAAATATTCTGTGATTTAGCCCAGTTTCTTTTAACAAACAGACGGCTATTGTAATCTTATTTGTGTGTTACTTGAAGTTATTTAAATGTTTGGTGCACACAAATCTCAGTCTGTGGGTAGCTGCCTGTATTTCTTCAAGTATTTGCTGTTCAGTATCTGAGCTGTATGATTGGTCACCTGAATTACTACATTTTGATCTCTGACAAGGGGGCATAAATCTTATTATGAACTAATTTTATTTGGGGCTAGTTCTGAAGGCAGCAAAACTTGTGGATGGGACCCATATTGGTAGGGTCCACCATAGCGGGCCAGAGAGTCCTGCACATGCTCATTCCTCATGGGAGAAAGCTAAGCTGAGCCTATTTGTTGACTCTCAGTACAATGGCCAGATTCTGGATGCTGATCTTTTTGACCATGTCAGTGGTGCAAAGCAGTCAAAAATCCAGTTAACCATCTGCTAATGAATTCCTCTCGCTTATGGAGGCACAGAGCCGTCACTAGTATTCTATACCCAATTCACATCCTGACTTCTAGTTGGACATGTCCAGAGCCTTTGGATGTGTAGTTAGAGTTCTGGGACGACTTTAACTTCTAGACATGAATGTCGCCAGGCACTGCTAGTTTTTGGAGCTGCCTGTCTCTATCAGATATGAGGGAATGGCATTGGGATACAGAATATTTCAAGCCACAAGTTGATTTTCCTTGCTTCTGCTGCCCTTACCTGGGGCGCCTCTAGGATTTTACTCTTGGATGCTCCTACTGCCTCACTGGAGATTTCCTCCAGGACCCTTCCTCCCCTTCCATTATGGCCTCCTTCCCAGTTGCTGATGCCCCCCCCCCCCACCTGGCTGCTTCATGCTGCCTGCTATTTGTTGTTTAAATAAAATAAATAAATATAAAATATATGGAGATATACCTATCTCATAGAACTGGAAGGGACCCCGAAATGTCATTGAGTCCAGCCCCCTGCCTTCACTAGCAGGACCAAGTACTGATTTTTGCCCCAGATCCCTAAGTGGCCCCCTCAAGGATTGAACTCATAATCCTGGGTTTAGCAGGCCAATGCTCAAACCACTGAGCTATCCTTCCCCACCCAAGGTAAGGTTTCCACTTTTAACTTGCAGTTATCCTGGCCCTATTTACATTCCTTGTGCCTCAGTGTCCCTTTCCCTCCCATTTCATCCCCTCCTTACACTAATGTATCCCTGTCCCTATTTGTTGCTGCTCTTCTCCCAGCAGATTCCTCCTTCCACCTTCCTCTCTAGCTTATGCTCCAAACTAGGGTTGTCGATTAATCGCAATTAACTCAAAAAATTAATCATAATTAATTGCAGTTTTAATTGCACTGTTAAACAATAGAATAACAATTGAAATTTATTAAATATTTTAGATGTTTTTCTACATTTTCAACTATGTTAATTTTAATTAAAACACAGAATACAAAGTGTACAGTGCTCACTTTATTTTATTATTTTTATTACAAATATTTGCACTGTAGAAATAATAAACAAAAGAAATAGTATTTTTCAGTTCTCCTAATACATGTACTATAGTGCAGTCTCTTTATTATGAAAGTGCAACTTACAAATGTAGATTTATTTTTTTACATAACTGCACTCAAAAACAAAACAATGTAAAACTTTAGGGCCCACAAGTCCACTCAGACCTACTTCTTGTTCAGCCAATCGCTAAGACCAACCAGTTTGTTTACATTTACAGGAGATTATGCTGCCCACTTCTTATTTATAATGTCACCTGAAAGTAAGAACAGGCGTTCAGATGGCACTTTTGTAGCCAGCGTTGCAAGATATTTACGTGCCAGATATGCTAAACATTCGTACACCCCTTCATGCTTCAGCCACCATTCCAGAGGACATGTTTCCATGCTGATAATGCTCGTTAAAAAAAATAATGCATTAATTAAATTTGTGACTGATCTCCTTGGGGGAGAATTGTATGTCTCCTGCTCTGTTTTACCCGCATTCTGCTATATATTTCGTGTTATGGCAGTCTCGGATGATGACCCAGCACATGTTGTTCATTTTAAAAACACTTTCACTGCAGATTTGACAAAATGCAAAGAAAGTACCAATATGAGATTTCTAAAGATAGCTACAGCACTGGTTAAAGAATCTAAAGTGCCTTCCAAAATCTGAGAGGGATGAGGTGTGGAGCATGCTTTCAGAAATCCTAAAACATCAACACTCCAATGCGGAAAGTACAGAATCCAAACCACCAAAAAAGAAAATCAATCTCAGATTATGAAAATGAACGTGCGTCTGTCCGCACTGCTTTGGATCATTATCAAGCAGAACGTCATCAGCATGGACTCATGTCCTCTGGAATGGTAGTTGAAGCATGAAGTGACATATGAATCCTTAGTGTATCTGGCACGTAAATATCTTGCAATACTGGCTACAACAGTGCCACGTGAATGCCTGATCTCACTTTCGGGTGACATTGTAAACAAGAAGCGGGCAGCATTATCTCCCGCAAATGTAAACAAACTTGTTTGTCTGAGCAATTGGCTAAACAAGAAGCAAGACTGAGTGGACTTGTAGGCTCTAAAGTTTTACATTGTTTTATTTTTGAATGCAGGTTTTTTTGTACCTATTTCTACATTTGTAAGTTCAGCTTTCATATAAAGAACACTGTGCACTTTCGTATTCTGTGTTGTAATTGAAATCAATATATTTGAAAATGTAGAAAACATCCAAAAATATTTAAAGGTTATTCTATTATTGTTTAACAACACGATTAATTGCACAATTAATCACGATTAATTTTTTTAATCACTTGACAGCCGTACAGCAAACCAGTCCATGTGTTTCTCTCTCCCCTGTTTAGCTATCTTGTCCCTATCTTCCTTTCTTCCTGAAAAAATATCTCTGCACACCCACCCTCTGGCCATCACTGCACCAACCCAGCCAGACTAAACATCTTTTGTCTTGCCTGTTTGAACAGAAAAGGACATACTGTGAATGGCAAGGGACAATGAGGATGGAGAGATATAACTGGATGTTTAGTCACATACTAGCTACTTCATTACATTTATAAACAGGATAAAATGTTAAGGCAACGTGTGCTGGCAGTGGTGAGAGGAGGTAGGCGTTAGCCACCCAAGCTATCACCAGTTGTACCCCTTTTGATGTTCAAACCTGGAGTATGCTCTAATTTCAGATTCACTCAGTCACTTACTCTATCCAAGGCCCTAACAGAGCCTGTATTGTATTATTCAGTAGTCTACCACAACCGAGAGCAGCCTGCTATGTAGAAAGACATCATGCCATGTAAGAGTGCTTTAGGCTTACCTGCAAGTGCCAACACATGCTTCCTAGGAAAGATGGTGACCTAGGAAAGAAGGCAGCTCAACCCAGGCATTAGACTGGGAGTGTCGAGGAGAAGGAGATGAAAATCTTCCAAGCGCTGCACACAAAATGAGACCTACCCATGTCAGTCACCAAAATGAGACATTGCTCACAGAAAATTGAATACATGTTCAAATTATTTGAGAAGCTCTCTGAGCGCCACTAGGCTCCTTGAGTTTGGCTTCCCCTGTGTGGAAGTTCAGGATTCTTAAAGGATCTGCTAGGTTCCTGAAGTTTGGCTCCTTCTTAACTGGAGGGGGGAAAATGGCCAAATGCAACCCACTTCTGGCACCAAAATGAGAGGCCATTCACAGTAAATTGTGCTGTTCTGTGGTCCTCCCTCTTCTTTCTTACATGAGGAATGAAGTAATTTAAATGTTATCATTAATATCACTAGGTCCTGAGTTATCACTACCTGATCTGAATGGGGCAGTTCACATCTCTCAGCTATTGTTCTCATCTCTGTATCATTATTCACATTTGAGGATTTTTTCACAACCACAACAGCTAGAGTTTTACTGGGGATTTCTTTGTTTGTTTTTGTTTGTTAATGAAAGCTGAGATTCTGAAGAACAAGATAATAGCTTCAGAGGTGTGTCTTTACCAGCGGTTTCCAAATCTGGACTCAGCTCCTTCCTTTTGACATCTGTTAGGTCAAAAGAGCCAGATATTGGAGGTCCACCCCTTGGACCTCCAATAACTACCCGACTAAACGGAGTCTGATTCTCTGCTGCCAGGACCTATCCCCCAAAATTGTGATCCTGTCAAGCCATTAATATTGAAAAAGAATAAGAAATTCCAGGCTGATTCAGAAAAAAGTATCATACAAAGCAACCACATAATTCCATAAGAACCCGTGCCAGAACTCTGCACAATTGTCCAGGTCTATAGGTATCCATCTCATTAGTTTTAAATCATTGCATTACGCAAATGCTTCAGCCTAGCTGACTCACATAAACAGCTGCCACCACAGTATTTGTGAAACCCAAAACTTAACATATGAACTGCAGCTCTGTTAATATCCACCACCAATAAATGCAAAGATGGGGAAGGGAGGGTAGGAAATTGATTTTTGCAATGCAGCAAGCAAAGTGGTAAGCGGTATTCTATTTGTCGAGGCCACAATCCCAGTAAGCCAAGTCAGGCACTTGGACTTATTAATGGGAGCCTCTCTGTCAAGAAGGGGTGCTCAGCTGACTGGTGCTGCAATGCTGCCTGGGTATACCCTTCCTTCCTGACCTTACCCTGCATTTCAGTACTCAAGGCCAGTGTACTCTATTGCCATATTAAAGAAATATGCTTCAGCCTACACAACTACCAGGGCTGAATGACAATTCCCTACTACAGTTATAATTAGAGCGGGACAGAGAGGAAGCATAGTCTAGGTCTTGTGGTGCTAGCCTGAGACCCAGGTTCAATTCCCAGCTGCATCACAGACTTCCTGTGATCTTTGGCAAGTTGTTTAGCTTTGGTGTGTCTCAGTTCCCCGTCTGGAAAGTGGAGATAATAGTACGTCCCTCCCTTACAGGGTTGTTGTGAGAATAGATACATAGATCTATGCAGATGCTATCATCACATGGGCCACATTAGGTACCTTAGAAAGAATTTTCTGTTGACATTTTTTTATGGAAACGACTTCTTTCTAATTTTTTTTTCAGGAAAATATTAATTTCTTTAGAAATTTGTTGGTTTTTCAACAAGCTGAAAATCAAAATTTCCATTTTCAGTTTACTGAAAAATTTCCAGTTATTCCACTGGGGAAAGGATGAGCAGAGGGATTTTTTTTTCAGTTTACAGTTTGTTGAAAAAATTTAAATTTTCCTGCACAAGTTACCCTTTTTAAAAAGCCCTAGTTATATGTTGGTTGGTTGTTTTTTATGGCCACACAGGCAAGTTAAAAACCATGTTATAACATGGCTGAACCAGATGTTTCAAACCTAGAGTTACTTTTGTAGTGAGCATACAGGGCTTTAGTTAGCTGCTGGATTTTGTTTTTTGTTTCATATTTTATAAAAACACCTCATACAATTTTAATCATAAGCCTGGGTATGTGTAGATATATGTGGAATGAAAGCTTATATAGATAGGGAGGGGAAACCCTCTTGGGTAGGTCTGCACAGGTATGACTGAACCAGCCCTGTGTTTTTCATCAATAAAGAATTTCATTTTATGATTATATTAATATCAGTTACAGACTCACAATTGGTTTTCATGAACCTTTGTTGCATGTGTGTTCAGTGAATGCATGCAAAAAGCAAATAAAGAGCACAAACACAATCAGTGAAATTCTAATTAAACAATAAAACAGTTTAAATTTTTAGTCCGAATTCAGAACAAAAACATGAGAGGCAGGCAGGTGGTCTTGGGAAGGCTGTGAATGCACAGGAACTGAAATTGAATGTGAAACTGAATCAAGTTTGTAAAATCACAAGCCTGCAAATTTGAACTGCTGAGATCCATGCATCTATAGTTGTTGAAAAATAACACAAGGCAAGTTCACTTGTGCTTCCACAGAAAAAATACCTATTTTGGTTATTTTCTTTTCCTTAGGTCTTTACATGGCAATGATATTTCAGTTGTTCCTGAAGGAGCTTTTAATGATCTTTCAGCATTATCACATCTGTGAGTATTCAGTCATATATTTTTTACTTACATGTATGTTGACCTCTTGCCTGGATCAGCATTTAATGGAAAGACTTTTTTCTAGAGTAACATTGTGCTATTTTGCTCAGTTTTCTGTGAACTACAAAGAGCAAAGGTGAATTGGAACCATTGGAGTTTAGAGGAAGATATTGAATCTGAGCCTTGCAAGGGAGGAGAGGATATATTACTGCATACAAGTGTACTTGAGTTTGACATTGTTGAACAGATGCAGTTTTTAAGTGTCTTTATATATGGAGTCATCTGTTTTTGTTTTGCTGTAAGCAACTAATGGTCTTGCTTTATGCTCAGACATATTCAGCATCTGGGAATGTCACAGAAATTTGAAAGGGTACTGATTAATTTTGGTGTCATCCTTATTTATAATTCATTCAAATGCTGCTATCAGGATGACACATGGGCATGAAGACAGATGAAACCGACACGAGGAACTGGAAAGGAGTAGGAGATGGAGGTTATGAAAGAAGAGTGAAAGGAATTTCTTGTGTACATGCAAAGTAAAATGACAAAGTGGCTTCTTTATCTTGTACTTTAATCCTCTGAGTTTTTGTCTTCCCCTTCCCTGATTCCAAGATGGCAGCCATACGTATCTTTGCTCGTGCTCTTTGGAAGCATTTTAAAAACATGGATGATCAATTAAGTTTGACCCTCTCCTTACCCCCGCCCCCACAAAAAAGTTGTTTGCCTGTTGTATTGGCAATCATGTTAGACTTCCCTATATTTTGATTTTTGAGTAGAGTAATTCCCCACATCTCAGCTCTACCTGGTGGCATTTTTGTGCCATCTCGTGGTGACATAGCATTGTGTGACAGTGTCAGCAGACAGAGTATACTTCTGCTTTTTTGGAGAGGTGACTGCTTTATGCACTTCAGCTATTTCCACCATGGGTTCTAGGTAGGAGAAAGTTATATCATGTTCTTCCCAGGAATGCTGCCAGCTTTTCTGCCACCCTACGCGGCGGAAAGTCCCGCCCCGAAATGCCGCCCCCCCACAGAGGCGGCAGAAGGTCCCGCCGCCGAAATACCGCTGCGGTCGCCGCCCCCCAAATTGTAGCGCCCTAGGCGACCACCTAGGTCGCCTAATGGGTTGCGCTGGCCTTGGTTCTTCCTCTTGTTCTCTTCCTAACAGGGGATATTTCTCTCCCTCAGTCTGAAGCTGAAAGGATCACCCTTCTCTTGAGAAGGCAGAGAGCATTTTCTCTCTCTCATGGGTGGAGAACCATTTCCTCTTTTTCTCTGGAACAATAGTAGGGAGGAGGATACCTCTCATATATGTAACATGGGAGTAAGGAGCTTAAAAGTATCTATAGAACTGGATCTGTTTGTTTTTTATTGCTCCCCATTCAGCCTGATTGAGTGAGTGGGTTCGTCAGAGTAAATCACAGAAGTGCTTCCTGCTTGGTCAGGCAGAATGAGGAGCATTTCTGCAGTCTTCATTCTGTTCATGGTATTTGAGCCATGCTCTGATCATTTTTCCTGGGATTATCTCACTTTCTCAGAAGGTCCGGTGGTGTGAGATCAGGATGTGGGACAGTCTCAAGGGCCGTAGAATACTGAAGGCATTTCCAGGACTGCCTATTGAAATGCTGGACACATGACAGATTTTTTTCTTTAAATCAGTGGCATAGCTTCATTTCATAGCAGCACAGTGGGAACCGGGGGTACATTACTATTATAAAGTGACACACTGTATATATCCTCTCCATTAACCACAAAACTGTTTGCTCCTGCCTAAGCGAGTTGTAAGAACATTTGTGCTGTCTGCTAGGAAAATGTTGACTGTTAAAGAAGACACTTTATAAATTGAGTAATTCAGAAAATCTTTTAAAATATTTGAAACAATAAAATGTGCTCAAATGTCTTTATTACAAAAAATAAAATTTTAACAGTTACATCCAGCTGAATTCAAGATAAATAGGCTTTCTATAGGGCCCACGGAGGGGATAATGATTCAATGGAACTTGCTAAAATGTTGCATTACTTCAGATGGTTAGTGGCAGAGTTCTGTCCCTCCCCAGGAGCAGGTCTTTTAGGCCTGTCTCTACTGACTGCTACTGATGCCATAAGCACTGAGCTGACTCGGGGAATCTCCTTACATAATCATGTAGAGGAGCTCTCTGATGAGATCAGTAATGATAGGTCTATATTCATTGGCAGAGCTCCAAAGAGAAAATAATAAATTGCAGTTTTGTGGGGAGAAAGGTAAAAGCAAATGATTTATGCAGGGCATGCAGCCTTGAACTGGAAGAGGGAAGTATGTTTTTTTAATGGTTTTCCCCCATTTTTTGCAGGGTGGCCTTAAGCCCCAGTTGAAGAACCACAGGAGTGCAAGGGTTTTACTTCATCCTCTGGCTAACTTTTAACTTCCCGTTACAAAATTTCTTCTGCAGCTTCAGACGCTCTTTGTTAAACTCAAATACATTGACCATTTAAGTACAAAGGGTGATACTGAGCTCATTAGCATCAGTTCTCCAAAATCCATATTAATGTAACTGGGAACAATGGCTAGCATTCTGGCAAAGTTTGTTGCTGAGTCCTAGTTTCAAAGCCAAGATCCAGGTAATCCATGTAGCGCATTTAGCTTCCAGGAGTTTTCTGCTGATCATAGATTTGTTTTTGTTATACAAAGCAAGCACATAAAACTGTTATGTTTTTCCCCCCAGTGCTATTGGAGCAAATCCTCTGTACTGTGATTGTAACATGCAATGGTTGTCCGACTGGGTAAAGTCAGAATACAAAGAACCCGGTATTGCACGTTGTGCTGGTCCTGGAGAAATGGCAGATAAACTACTTCTCACAACTCCATCTAAAAAATTTACTTGCCAAGGTACTGTTTTATGTTTTTTATGATGTGAAATTTTGAAATTTTACAGTGGAATAGTGGAATTGTGAAATGATAGAATAATCCCATACTTTCTAAAGATATTCATCATACCATCTTCACTGTTGGGTCCTTTGTCATGGGCAGGACCAAGGTGGATATTCCTCATACTCAAAGTTCTAAAGCCATTAGTTCCAGCAAAGAGCATCTCAACCTACGCAGCATAAATTCTTGTAAGTGTCCCAATTTCCAGTTCCTTTCTGACAAAAGTTGTAGAAGAAGCTTCTCTGGTTCACAGTTAAGTATTATCCCAAATTGCATTGCTACCTGTCTCAAACTGACACTGTTATAACACTTATCTTATTAATCAAAGAATATAGTTTCACTAACCTCTGGTGCTTCATTCTCAATATTTCCAGCAAAACTTGTAAACATTTCCATGATTATTAGGTCTGTGAGCCTTGCAGTTTGTGCTGCATCATAGGAACTGCCAAACTTGATTAGATCCAGTATCCTGTCTCCAGCAGTGGCCAGCACCAGATGCTTCAAAGGGAGGTGCAAGAAACCCCACAGCAGAGAAATGTGGGGTAATTGCCCTCCATGATGGTCTCATCCTATTCCCTAACAGTTTAGAGATTGTTTTAATGTTTTATCTCCTCACCAATACTCTTTTTGTTCACATTAACTTTATCACTCTGGATGTTATTGTTATCCATATAGCAGTTCAGTCTTTTTTATGAATCTGACTAGGTTTGTGGCTCAAAGGTCTTAGGCTATCCTAATTCTTGGCCCTTATGTGAAACAGGACTTCTGTTATTTTACATATTGGTCTTTTCTTTTCTTAAAACTTTCAAATGTGTAGAGCACTTTTGCTGCTCTCCCTCATCTTTAGATTCTTAAAGTTAAATACTTTGGAGCACACAATAAAAAGAACCATAAATATGGGATTATTAAAGTGAGCCTGCCTAAATTGATAACTCCTCCTGAGATGCTTGATAAATGTGAGCTCAGTTTTTCCATGCAAGGCTATTTTCTTGTGGCAGTGACTTAAGCTTACAGACTGAGTGAGCTTCAAGCTCTATTGACTGATTCACCTCTTAGCAAATTCTTCAAAGACATGGTGGTGCTAAAGATGCATCCTACATTCTTTCCTAAAATAGTTATAGAATTTTACCTTAGTTGATCATCAGGACATTTTTCTTTTTCCATTTTCCAGCATGCGCACCTCAGTGAGGCTCTTTTCCACAAGTTGGGTGTTGTCGGAAGGTCACTAGGCTTTTAGTAAATTAAAGCTAATAGACATCTAACCTGTTTGTGTTGAATTTTACACTAATTCATTATGCTTTGCTGTCCCTAAGATAACTATTGTTATAGCCTGACATGACTATTACTCTATGTCAAGGCCAGTTCTTTATGAGACAAATCTGCTGCCACAAACAAATCATCTAGTTCTGACTAGGAGATTTGCAAACCATCCACATGGATTTCTCTATACACATTTGCGAAGCATTATTTCTGACATGCTTATAACTAGACAGGATATGAGATGTGCTGTACTACTAGTACAATAAACACTCTTTCCAGGCTTTGTGTAGAGGGGTAGGGTATGCGGGGGGGATCTTTTTCTCCCCCCTCCTTTTACAGTTAATTTTGTCAGGTTTTTTAATGATCTCTGTTTAAAATAAGAATACTTTAAAATGTATGAAGTGTCTTCTCTCACACACTCACTCACTATATATCTAGATCTATTCATCTTTTAGTGTTACTGTTCAAGGTATGCTCATCTTGCTTGTACTTTCTTCTGTTCCCTATTGCAGCTTTTCCTTTCTTCACCCCTGCAGGTGTATTTATTTTATAGCAAATTTTCTGGAGCTTCTTTATCACTCAAGAGTGGGGATCTGTTATGATGGGTGTCTTTAGAATTACTTCCCCGCAGCTGCCATTCTGTGAAGATGCACATGATAACAGATCACCAGTCATCACCACCCTCCGCAATGAGTTGAAGGCCCTGTAACACATTTTGTCTTCATTATTCAGGGTTTTTTTTCCCCATTCATATATAAGTAATTTATCCTTCTGCATAGAATGCATCTGGCAGCAGGGACATTGGGAGGAACATGTGTTCTGTACAAGATGCCCCTGCTGGAACCAAGAATTTGGAACTTTGAAGTTCAGGGTTTCTGCTTTGGTCACATGTAGGTGCACAGACCCAAGAATGGTAATCTGTTATAATGTACGTATTCAGAGAACAAGAATTGCAGGTAATTCCTTCTTATCAGTATTTGGATTGCTATTGAAAGCAAAATGTATTGTTGAGGTTGGTTTATGTAACAGCTAGTTACTATCCAATGGAAAACAACTCTTCCAGTGAAAATCCCTTCTGAGTGGTAAACGTTCACATAAATGAATCATTGGAAGCTGGTGAATTATTTTTTAAGTTATAGGGACCTCTCCTGATTACATTTTTCCTTAGGCTATTTTTCCCTAGGATTTTTTTCTAGTTTTTATTTTTATACATACCTCTAACAGACTCTCAATCTTTTACTTTTGGCTTTTCACAATCCATGCCCTGCTTCTAGAGATTCCAGGGCCTTGTGGTTTTCTCACACCAGGTAAGGTTGTAAATAGCCTTTGAATGGGTTATCTGGTTAAGACTAGACCTTCTGACCTTCCCTACATGTATCTCAAGCAGACTTCTTTCCTAAAACATGCATGTTTACTGTTTGTTTTCCCCCCCTCTTTTCTTGGATGAGTTTATGGGTGATACTTTGTTATATGTTGTACAATATCACTATATAAATAACCGTGGTATCCTAAATAGCCTGTTGTATTAGGATTGAAAATTAACTACCTTATTGAAATGATGGTTACCACTGCAGTGTGATTGCATTGGCCTGGAGTTGGTGACTTTAGGAACAACTTTTGTTGAAATGTAACTCAGTGTGGACATTTAGGATTAGGTCATATATTGGAGATAAAAGGACCTCCTAGGTACAAGTTAAGTCAAGGTTAAAAAGAATTTATCTTCCAACATATTTCTTTGTGAGCTAATTTTGGTTTTGTTCATATTATTTTTCCTTTAATAGACTGTAAGTATCTTACATGCTCGGTATTCTACATTATACAAAAGCCCCTCAGTATTTAACAGATTTATTTGGTGAGTAAAGTATATACGCATACTGTGGGACTTTTATATAATGTACAATACTGAGCAGTAGCCTATGGGCCTGATTCTTCTTTACATGAAGCCCCCTTTACACTTGCAGAGAGGTTGTGAAAGGGCATAGTGCAAATGAGAATTGGGTCCTAGAGCTACCCCTTCACTGCTGTTATGGTTTACAAAGTAAACAAACATCTGAGAACTATTTTAAACATGTTAGCTAAGCAACAGAATGTAGAAAGATATATCCTTTCTTTCTCTGTCAGTCTTGCCTCAGACATTCACATTATTTATCTTAACCAACCTTTGTTTTATTTCCATTTATATCTACACATACAGATACTCTAAAATGTTAGCTCATGTTTACATTAAAATTTAATGTGGGCACAAAATATTTTTAAAAACAATGTTATTTGAGCAAGAGTTGAATTAGAAGTATCTGAAACTTCCCCTTCTTTTTTGTAACCCTATAGCTTTAAAAAAGGTGAATCAATTTTTTCAGTTTGAAATAAGTATTTATAATGCAAAATCAGGCACAACTTTAACTACTGTCTCATTGGGACGTAGGCTTCTACGTGTCTAAGTCACTTTTGAAATTATAAGTTAGGGCTTGTCCACACAGTGGGGTAATGCATTCTATGGGGCTGTGATTTATAAAGCACACTAATATGTTGTGAATTAATTGGTCTGTGTAAATCCTGCTGGTGTTCACCAAAGTTTCTCCAGTGTGCTTTAACATAGTACTGTTTCAAACCAGCATGGTCTGTATGGACCAGTTAATGCACAACAAAGTGTATTTTAGAAATCAGACCCCCGTAGAATGCATTGCCCTGCTGTGTAGACAAGTCCTTAGGCTCCTAAAACAGTTAAGCACTTTTGAAAATGTACCCAAGATGAAAGGAGCAGTAAAGAGAGGAAACTGAGAACAGGAGGATATAAAAGAAAAGTGTAGGATTTGTTTCTGCTCCCATTGAATCAGCAGGAATAGGAGCAGGACCTCTAGATGTGGCCTTAAAGGTGACAACTGGTGTTTATTTGATTTGTAATAGCCTTCCGTAAATGAGATTTTATTTACTTTTTTTACTCACATAGTGTTTTTATCCTTTGAGCTGAATTCACATTATACAATGAAAATTAGAACGTTGGATTCTGTCTAATTAGGGTACGGTAAACTGGCTTATATAAAACGAGCTGACAGAAATTTCACCGAAAGCTCAAAACACTTCTTGAGATAATTAAAAAATGGCATTTCTTCTTTTTCACACACTGTGACACTTACTGGCCTTAGCTGCTGTTTTGATATTTCTGATCCAACACTACAGATTACCAGAAATCTCCCAAAACAGCCTCTTCTCACAGGATTTCCATTTAGATTTTTAGATCAAAGAACTTCAGAGAAGAATCAAAACTATAGATACTATTTTTTTAATTTTAAGATAACCAAAATTGTTGACAGTAAGATTTTGTTACATAAGCAGGAAAGGAAAGTGTGTCAGATATGTAAGATATACAGCAGAGATGAGGAAGTAAAGATTAAGTGTTACAGCACAGGATCATAAGTTACCAATTGCTTTTAATCAGTACATCCCACTTTCTCCATATTTGCTTGATTTAACCATCAAGTCTTTTGACAGTCATTCAGGCAGGACGTTTAAGATAATTTTATGGCATTTGTTTCAACTTGCATAGCTCTGTTGTTTGTCTCTTTAACAGGAACTTTAATTAGTTTTACACTTCTTGTTGGAAATAAGGTGATGAGACAAGAATGGTCAGTGATCCATGTACAGTTTGTGTCATTGCTAATAAACACCACCTCTCCTTACTGTAGCTTATTTTTATTTTTATTTCTTTACATTGTCATACAAGCTCTGGCATAGAAGCACACCAACGCGAGCAGTTTTCAGAGTAAACTTTTGTCAGCTTCTTCTGTGCTAGAACACTCTACAATATCTTTATGATGGCATAGCTTTTCAGCTCCTTTCCATAGATGTTTTCTTCACTGTAAAAAAAACCTCCCTATTTAACTCCCCCCCTAAAAATGTTTGATTATCACACAGGTTGGCAAGAAAAACATGGAGTATGATTTGTAATGTATTTACTATTTGGTACAAACAGCCTTCCAGTGAACTATTTTAAATGATAAAATTCTCCAGCCTTATGCCCAAAGTCATCTTTGAAGTGTTTTTGATTCGCTGGCAAAGCTATTGTTAATATTAGATCTTTTTTTTTTCCCCCACATGAAAAGTCTCTTTGCATTTTAGGTGATTTTGTGCCCCCCAAATTTTCCTTTAATATTGACCTAGCACCCACAAAGATGTGTGTTCAGCTCTGCATCTGGGTTAGCCAATCCTGCATTACACCAAGGGAAGAAGGCTTCCATGACACATGCCAGAAGGGCCAGCAGCAACAGACAGATTTAAACAACTCTCCTGGCCTGATCCGCAGCCAGCATCTCTTCCCAATAGTTTCAATGTGAAGCCATGGCATTACTCAATGAAAGTTACTTATGCAGGATGTTTATTGCAAATAGCGACAGGTTGAAGATTAGCAAATGAAAGTTGTGTAAAATAATATTGGGAAGAAGCAGTCACATGTCAACTTGCCTTCTTTATTGCAAGGCACCATCGATGTTTCAGGGAACTTAAAAAAAAATTTTCTTTTTCAGGCTGTTCCACCCAAGCAAGAACAGATTACTTTTTGCCTGTAACAAAGCAGCTGAATATAACTGTCCCTCAGCTGCATAATAGAGATGAGGAAAGACAAGGTGTTTTTGGCTTCCTACCCTATTGAGATGTAGAGTATTTTACAATTTTCAACTTTCCTCTGCTTATTTGTGACTTTCAGAATAACAAAATATTCTTATTTTCAGCTTTAAATTTTTTTTTACCCTTTGTGTGGGACTACAAAGGAAATAAGACAAATGCAAGCCTCGACTTTACAATCGCAAAACTACGATACAAGCACTGAACTAGCTTGCCCATTTATAAAATTGCTTATTAAACAATACTCCTCATTATAAACATCTGCTTCATAATAACTATTTACTGTTCAAGAGCACACAGTAATCCAACCTCACCATAGGAAAACACATAAAATAGTGCAGCAAACCAGCCTTAGGATTGAACAGCCACATGTAAACTTAATAACATAGGAAGCTCAAAAGTTTTGGTGTTTAGTTTAGATTAATATCAAAACGTGGAGGGCCCCCTATGGCTCTCCATCCCCATGCAGTCCTCCTCACCTCACTTAGACTCTGAGACAGACTCTTCTTTACCTACTGTTGTTAACTTGGATAGTGAGGAGAGTGGGCCAATGGTTGGCTACACTTATCAGGCATTCTTAATAAATGACAGACCCAGTTGCCCTTCTGTTCTCTTTTGGTCCCATCTCCCACACGGGCCTACGAAGACAAACCATGGGTTAGGCTCTGCTAATTGGATATAAAGAAAAAATAGCCTGTGACTTCAATCATGTAACAAAAATCCAGCCAACCCAACTCATAACTAGAAAATGAATCATGGGAAAAATGTGTTTTGAAATTTTCAGGCTCCCAGTTAATTGTTTAAATAATTTCTGCCTGGTTTAGATGAATTTTTTTCTACACAAAAAAAGTTACAAGAAAAGGTACATTTTTTAAGATGCTCCAAAAATTCAAAAAGGGCAACTGTGAAGTATTTTAATATTCTGGGGAGTACACAACAAATTTCTTAGCTGATTAACATTACAAAACCTCAGATTTCATAAGTATTAGTTGCTCAATTTTGTTAGTGTGGACTTAAATACACTAACTAACAAACAGTGCTCACCTGAATTGCAGGGAAGGTGAACAGAAACATGGACACCAGCTCCAATCTGAGTCAGTAGGTGTATGCATGCGGTGACAGTGCAGTCACATTGCTTGTAGGTTCATCACATGCACGAGTGTCCACAATCTCAAGCTGCACATAGACATGGCTTTCTGTAGAGGAGGGCTAGAATAGAGGGCTGTTCACTTGGAGGTTTCATGGAGGGTAGGGTGGTAACATCATTCTATGACCGACCTCTGCGCTATGGTCCCATGGTACCGCTATGCTTATGCAACCGGTGATAATTTCACTTGCTGAGCTTGCCAGTAGATCCTCCAGGTGTACAGTTGATATAGTTTAAAACAAAAAACAAAATGGAAAACAGCACAAAACACTGTTTTCTGTAACACCACTAGGGACAAGTCAGAAAACTGTGACATTCTGGTTTTAAGAGCCAAATGAGCTGAGACTGTGTTGTTCATTTCCGTCAGAACAGAGTAGGGTGTGAGGATGGTAGATGCAAATGATTTATTTAATTTTAGAGTTGGGGAGAAAGGAGGATGAAATAGTTCAGTGGATGTTTTTTCCCTTTAGTGTTGGAAAAGGAAGGATGAAGGCCAAATGTTTTCAATCTTGATTTAAAAAAAAAGTTAAGGCTAGCCCTGCATATGGAATATGCAGAAATACCAGAATAAGTAGAAAATAAGCAAATTAACACAAGTTTATTGTCAAAAATAAAGAAATGATGAGAGATGTTAGTTTCTGACTAACAAATGTGTATTTCCTTTAAGGGCCTGTGGATGTTAATATACTTGCTAAGTGTAGTCCCTGCTTATCAAATCCATGTAAAAATGATGGCACTTGTAACAATGATCCTGTTGACTTCTACAGATGTACCTGCCCATATGGTTTCAAGGTATGTACTGGGTGGTGAGAAGAGAGTTGAGGAAAATATAAGCTTCATTGTTCTCCCCGGTCATGAAAAGAAGTCTCTTTTTGCTCGCTTCCCCCAGTCTTTTTTGTTTTATTTTATCTTTTATTTTGTTGTTCTGTCTGCAGGGCCAGGACTGCGATATTCCAATTCATGCCTGCATCAGTAACCCTTGCCAACATGGTGGAACTTGCCATTTAAAAGAAGGAGAAAAAGATGGATTCTGGTAGCGGTTTTTTTCATCAATAAAAACAAAAGAAAAGTCTACTGAGATTGAACTGCTTGTTAAGGAAAACTAAAATCTTTTGGCTATTAATCTTTGGATCCTAGAGAGTAATGAGGAGAGGAGATATTTGTTGATAAATACAAAACCACAGCAGTAGTCTTTCAGGGCTTCTGAAGTATTAGGAAAAAATTCTGTCCTCAGAAAGCTTAAAGTGCCTTAAAACTGTTTAAAAAAAATGTGATTAGTCAAGGCATATCAGGGTAAGACAACATAGTATTGACTCCATTATGTTAATTAATAGCTAGCTAGATCCCTGCTGAAAAAGTCTCACAATTCAGCTGTTGTTGTGTGTATTACTTCAACAGACAGCATGTAAATGATAAGTTGTAAATCCCAGTGAAACAGAAAATTAATGATTCATTCCGAACCACTGTGCCAGTAGATAAACATGCTGTGAGCATTTTAAATCTTGAGTTATTTAATCACACAGTACAATTACTCCAGATGTACTTCATGAATTATGAAATATAGTTCTTTATTAAATGACTAATAATTTCACATTAGAATGCTAATCTACTCCTCAAGCTTGTTAGCAATGCCACTTTAAAAAGAAATGCTCTTTATTCTGCAATTCATTAAGAAATTATCCTTATTTATATATCCAAATTCTGTTCCAAGATTAGACTCTTTCCAATTAAAAATTAACTGTATACATTTTAATATCATGCCACAGTCATGTTTTAATTAGAATCTAAAGGGACACAGTCGCAGTTTGAAACCTCATAATTTGATCACAGTTATGGGTGCAATATAAAAATAATAGCTACATTGAATTATATCAAAAATATGTGTTGTGTGTGTGTGTATATATTATGTTTTTATTTTATTTATTATTTGTTTTTAATATGCTACATGCTGTGAAAACATGCATGAAAGAAGATACAATCTCTGCCTTGAAGAGTGTACAGTCTTGATATATAATATAATGATAATTTATTTATCATGTATTACATTCATATATATTGCATATTAGACTCTACTCCTGCAAATATTTACATGAGTAAAGTTAAGTATGTGCATAATCTTTGCAAGATAAAGACCTTATATGTAATAATGTATTATAATACTTTGGCGATATTTTGTATGTTTTAAAAAATCAGTTTTAGAGATCAGCACTCATAAGCAGTCCTATAATATAAAGGTAGCATGCATTCAATAGAAGAACATAAATGGGGAAGGAAACATTTAGTTTTGAAATGCAGGGGATAGGTCTATATTTAATTAAAATTATTTTCTGAAAAATACTGGCAGTGTTATACAGTTTAAAAAAAACTTAAGAACACTCTTATATATGATATAATGCTTAATAACTAATGTTATAATTATATGTTTAGTTGTCTGATCTCCCCTGCTGATGATTCACTATAAGCAAGTATATTTTCTGTTTTTACAGGTGCACTTGTGCAGATGGATTTGAAGGTGAAAACTGTGAAGTGAATGTTGATGACTGCGAAGACAATGACTGTGAAAATAATTCTACCTGTGTAGATGGAATTAACAACTACACTTGCCTTTGCCCACCTGAATATACTGGTAGGAATATGAGAGAAAACACAGGCAATTTAACACTGATTGTAAATGAATAGTCTTATGTTTTAAAGTTTGTGGATGAATCCTGGTTCCACTGAAGTCAATGGAAGTTTTGCCATTGACTGCTATGGGGCCAGGATTTCACACTGTGACTCTTTTATTTGGTTTATTTGGTAAAATGTATAATTACAAACAAAAAACACACACCACCAACACACCATGCTGCATCAACACACTTTTTATGTTCATTCATTGATTTTTTTTGTATTAACAAATAACATTTTGAAAGTTAAAAATCATTCAAATTTTATTTTAATTTAAAAGATAAAATTGTCTTCACCAGCACTAAGGTCCAGCTAAGCCCAGTGGAGGACAGCCAAGGAAAGAAGAAAAAAGTAGGAGCTGTACAGATCTAAGATCAACCCTTATGGTTTCCTTCCTTCACCTCCACAAAATATTAACTGAGCAGAGAGCTCACACCTTGCCAGAACAGAACAACGGTTGTGGCAAGAGCTCCCCCTACACTAAAACATAGTGGTGACAAGGGAATGTAATCTATCTCCCTCTGTTCTCAGCCCCAGCATGCACACACACACACACGTGCTCCCCAGTAATCTTTTCTTGTAGCTGTTCACCTGTCAGTGTCAGTTGGAGGCCAGGTATAAATCATTCCTTTTTCATATAAAGGGTGGTTACTCCAGTTGTATTGCTGTAGTCACTCTTACAGACTCTGTGGCCTCAGCTGGAAAGTGGGAATGGAAGATCCTGAAAATCAGGAACTTTAGAGAACAGGAAGCAGGATATTTTATTTATTGAGATGCATTCACTGTGTATCAGTAAATTGCTAGGTGCATATACAGCTTAAATACACAACTCATAATCAAACACACAAAGTATTTAAAGAACTGCCCTGACCCCAGAATAAACTCCACTCAATCGTCATATCCCATAATCCCACTTGGTCTCCCTGCCCCTAAGAAAAAAACATGAGAAAACAGGTGAGTCTTGCAGCATGCTCTAAAAAGCACTAAATCTAGGCTCTGGTGGATGGCCAAAGAGGGAAGTGAACTCCAGAAACAAAGGTCCTCACCAAGAACTACCAACCCTCTTCTGTGTAAGCCAGGGCAATATTAACTTGAATGCCACACCCCCACTTTAGGCTTTAAAAGTTAAAGCCAAAACTTTAAATCTGCACCCTGGAAATCAACTGGCAACATATGCAGGTCACAGAACTCAAGGAAATGTGTTTTGTGCAGTAAATACCACTTACAAGTCAGTTAACTGCATTCATACACTATCTGCAATTTCCAAATGACTTGGTGGTGTGGCTCCATACAGAGTGAATTACAATAACTGAAATAGCAAAGGTATGAATAAGTCTGGTGAGGTCCACATCTAAAAGAAAAGGACACAGTGTTCTGTTAAGTACAAATGACAGAACACTCTTTTGCCATTTGCTACTATCAGTATATCTAGGAGCAACTGATGATTCAAGAGAATCCCTAGCTGTAAGTCTTAGAAACAAACGGTAGCCAAACCCCAGCCCGAGTAAGGGTGCATATATAATGTCTGGCATTTTTCCTGTAATCCTTATATCGGTCTTATCTGAGCTGAGTCTTAACCAGCTAGCTGTCAGCTGTTTTAAAATCTCCATTAGCCACTAGGTAAGTCATTCCACTGCACAAGTAGATTGGAAGAGATGGAAGTATAGAGCGAGGTGTCATTAGCAAACCTTTTTCTGCATTAGCTCTTTTGAGGTCTTGTATATTCATGGAAAAGGTTAAGACCTCATGTGCATGAGCTTTTAGCTCTAGTAACTTTGTTACCAGTGTTTTGGTTTGTTTTTGTTTTGTGGCTTTTGTCTCAGACCTGTCTTTTCTCCAGATAGGTTAGACTGCTCCAGTCCTGTCTGCTGAGACAGGAACGTCACAGGGCCATAACTATTTTATGAACATCTTTAGCATTAATTATGTAATAGCATAAAATTATTAAGTATATTTTTATACAATTTCTGTCCTGCTTTGCTTTTTAAGTATCTCTGTGTGTACGTGGTTAGGGAAATGTAATGTAACAGATTGGGAAGTGAGAAATCTTGGTAATGTGTTTTTATTTTAATTTTCTGTTGCAGTTGTTTGTTTTTTAGTCTGGTGGCAAAACACCAGAAAACAGTACTGTAAAACAAAAAGGCTGACTTGTCCTTGGGGAAATGTCAGGTAATTACATTTCTGTGGAGGGCAGCATCCTGTCCTTGGACAGAATGGCTCTAAGAAGAAAACTTTATCCTGGTTTCTCTAAATCAAAATTTTGATTTGGTTCTGTTGTTGCTTTAAGGCTAGTTTAAAGAAAAAAATAACTTTAACTCTTACAAACAATTAAGTCTGTTTTCAGAGATGTACTGTATTCACAAAAAGAAGAACAGGAGGACTTGTGGCACCTTAGAGACTAACAAATTTATTAGTTAAATAAATTTGTTAGTTAAATAAATTTGTTAGTCTCTAAGGTGCCACAAGTCCTCCTGTTCTTCTTTTTGCGGATACAGACTAACACGGCTGCTACTCTGAAACTGTATTCACAATTCCTGTTGATGTCAGTGGGAACTGTAGGTTCTCAACATCTCTGAAAATAAGGCCAAACAGTTTTATAAGGTCTGTACTATTAATTGTATTGTATTTAGAGATTATGGTCAAGATTTTAAAATACTTCAATACCTCTCAGGCTTTCCTCATCCTGTCCCTCGCCCCCCCAAAATACTTTCTAAATATATATGGCCAGATTTGCCTGGTATATATAACTCTATACACCGTAAAATCAGCTACTGTGATTTCACCCAATGTACAATGACTTCACGTCCTACCTTAACTGACCCTGCAGTTTGAAATAAATAAATAAGCCTATCATGTTATAATTATAACTTTGTACAGCTAACATACCATGTCAAGATCTGAGAATGGGGAATGGGGAAACAGTAGTGTAAAACAATGCTACAATTGGTTAAAGTCACAAATTGTTTTTGATATTTTTGTTCTCTGCCTGATTCAAAGGTAAGTAACTAAATCTCAGTCTAAGTAACTCAATCTGCATGAAGAACTTCGTAAATTTCACGTGCAGCAGTCTCTACATACTGCAGTCCATTGTCTCCCACAGTTCTGGATATCTGGGCAGCTCTCCTCTCTCGGCAGCTTCACAGAGGCAGATCAGTGTTTGGCATTGCACTCTCTGGCCATGCTCCACCCCTTCCACTCCCCCTTCAGCTTGCCACCATATTCTTCGTGGCAGCAGACAGTGGCAGTTTTTGTTGCTCACACCCTCACTCTTCTGTTTTTTATCTTTTTCTGCCTACTTTTTGGGCAGTGGGGAGCGGTGCTCTTCCTCGCCGACATTCCTCCTCCTCCCTTGGTTGGTTAGCCCCTCAGAGATTTAACTTTCCCTGAGTCTCCACTTCAGCATCTCCCTGCTGGGTCCTCTGCCCCTGTACAGGCAAAGCAGAACAGCCAAGAAAATATTGGGTCAAATTGAAGCACTGCTCTGTCTGTGAGGCAGCTTTTCCAGGCTTGGCAGACAGTGAGTTTTGTCCAGTCTGTTACAGACTGTCTGTACCCAGACAACTGACTCCAACTCTGTTAGGTCCTGGGGCTACCAGTTGGACAGGCAGGTCGGGTCCCCAACCCACCCAGGTAGACGCAACTCCAGTGGGGAAAATGGACCAGGAATCCCAGCAGGTGAGGCTCCAAAAGTGATGAGGACCTTGACTGCTCAAGTTGGGGGTAAGTCCCAGGGAACCCCTTCAGAACAAAGTGAGGAGGCTTGTAGGGCCATAAGTCCTTCCCCCCACCCCCATCTGAAAGTGAGTCTTGAGTGCCCTGGAGAAAGAAGCAGGGCATCTAATCAACTTCCTTCTCTCAAAAGCCAACCAAGAGAGGTTGGACAAGAAGTCCCACCATCCTGCTGGGGAATGGGACTCAGCAGGGGAGGATTCTGAATCAAACCTCTTGTGGGGGCTTCAGGCCCTAAGGAAGGCAAGCTGCAAAAGGCCTCACCAAAGCCACAGCAGAGCTATTACACTCCTGAAACAAGCTAAACAAGTTAAAAAATGTAAAGAGGCAAAAAAGAGAAGGAAAAATCACACACACACACACAAAAAAGATACGAGCAGTGATGAGCTGCCAAAATCTTAACGACGGGTTCCCTATAAAAAGTTCTGATTTAAGGGATATGCCACAGTATGTATTTTTTGTACCTTTCTCCATAAGAAGTGGCAATGCATTGAGTTATTAGGAGTCATACTTAACAATAAAAACTATGTCCGTATTTTCCCGTATTTTAAAATTTAAAAATTCCTCCTGGACGGCGATTTAAGAACCAAAAAGCCTGACATGTCCGGGAAAATATGGATGTATGTTAACCCTCCCTAAAGTTCTTTTTTAAAAAGATGGGCCTGAACTAGATTGAGCTCTGTTTCACATGTGTGGGTCCCCGCCAGATGTCCCGATTTTATAGGGACAGTCCCGATTTCTGGGTCTTTTTCTTATATAGGCTTCTATTACCCCCCACCCCCGTCTCGATTTTTCACATCTGCTGTATGTTCGCATGTGTGGGTGTGCACATGTTTGGGTCCCAGCTGCTCCCTGCCCGCCTCATTGAAGCAAGTGTGCAGGGTTACTGCCCTGGGAACTGCAGGGCACCAGTGGACATGGGGCCGGCTGCAAACAGGGGCATGTGGCAGGGCTAGCTGGAGGCAGGGGATGGGGGGCTGGCTGCGGGCAGGGCAGGGGGTGCAGAGCTGGCTGGAGACAGGTGTGTGGGGCTGGCTGGAGATAGGAGGGTGGCTGGCTTCAGGCAGGGGGGTGCGGCAGGGGTTGGCTAGAGACAGGGCAGGAGGTGTGGGGCTGGCTGCAGGCAGGGCAGGGGGTGCGGCAGGGGCTGGCTGCGGACAGGGGGTGTGGGGCTGGCTGGAGGCAGGGGCTGGCTGCGGGCAGGGTGGCGGGTACTCACGGGGAGAGCGG